GGGGGGGTGTATTACCTAATATGTGGGGACCAGTTTTTGGAAAAACTCTTTTGGAGACCAACTGAAGTACTGACTGACCAATAAAATTACTTGACAAACAGATCTCAGAGTGTTCAAGTCTAAACTCCACCTTACTCAAAAAAAAAAAAAATCTGAAGGGGTACCTCAAGGAACAGTATTAGGTCCATTACTTTTTATTATTTACATGAACTGTTTGGACAATAATGTGCCATGCAACACTTACTTTTTATGCTRATGACACTGTTATTTAATGTGCTGCATCAACGCCAAGCAAAGCGCTCAACCTTCTACAGACTTCAACATTGTCCAGAGCAATTTAAAAAGCCTAAAACCCATTTTAAATACAAACARAACCAAGATGATGATGTTCTCTAACTCCAAGACTAAGGCATTTCATTTCGAAGCAGTTAAAACATTTCAAGGCACTCCTATAAAACCGGTTTCTCAGTGAAGCTCTTTCCTTTGCACCACATATTCAGCATCTAAATCTCAGACTTCAAAATCATTTCCTGTCTTTCTTTCAAAGCAAATAAACAACTGCTGCTATGTTTATGTCGTTTTTTTCCCAATCCACCTGGAATCAACTTCAATCTAGCTTAAAACTGAAGGAGCTGGTTTCATTAAATGTATTTAGGGACATTTTAAAAGTTTTCAATGCATTTGGGTGGGTATGTGGTCTGGGTTGGACTATAGAAATGAATGGAAATCAATGTTCTCATGATGATAGGAGTACGCATGTCCTCTATTATTAATAGTTTTTATTCAAATATTGCATTGTTTTCTGTAATTAATCCTTGATTCTGAATGATCAGCTCATGACAGTGTGAGGCCCATCCAGCAGTTTTCACTTCACACTTATTTAATGTTGAGTTTAATGTTTCCTCATGATCCCTACACTGAATAAAACTACAGCATCTGTTACTGTTCAGGTTAGGGATACCACTAACTTTCTGATATCCAGGGTTTTATTGACAGGTTTCAGAAACAGAGCTTTATCAATAACTGTGATGGTTAACAGATGAAGGTATACTTAAAACTAATAATTTATTGTGGTTTGTCATTATTCAGTAACTTTTTGTAAAACTTATTGTTTTCTGTAAACTTGTTCTAAGAGCGCCTCCTGCTGGGCTGAACATAGTTCAGATGGGAAGAAAGATGTCCTACTGTAGTTTATACAACAGTACATTTAATATCTGTAATTGTGGGTATTTTAGTTCATAGTTGGGCAATGGGCATCTACAGATTTGTTTTCAACGTGTGCTTTCAAAAGACAGACATTTCACAGGTGAATGAAATCTAAAATAATTTATTAAAGCAAAACACAAACATGCTGTCAATATAGATAATTAAAAAACAAAAAATTAAACTTATTTTAAATACAACACATATTTGAAAAGGATCCAATGAAAACCAGAAAGATTAGAGCAGAAAACCATCCAGTCAGAGACTAATGGAACACCATAAGTATAAAAACAAACAAGTGTAAACTAAAACAACTATATTTATTTAACAAGTCCAACTTTGAATTGCTGTTTCATAACCGTACATTAAACACAAAAATCAAGAGAATCAAAGCCAACACAACAGCCAGAACACCCATTATAATATATTTTAACTGTCTGATGCATGGRTTTCTCTCAGCTCCTCCTTCAACATCTGTCATTCTTACCTGAACTTCATCACAGAGCAGATGTTTGTTTACTTCATCACCATCATCCTTTGTTGTCTTCTGTTCCATCCTCTCAGAGGACACGGCTGTTATCTGATTCTCATCTGTGTTTTCATCTAATAATCTCTTTTTTTCAAGGCTCCTTGTTTTATTGTAAAATACAACAGTCTCATCTGACCTTTTACAGTCTCCAGGTTTAACATCAGGACTAACGTTTAGTCTTAACTTCTCAGTTTCTTCTGAGTTTTCAGGATTCCTGGCTTCAGCCTGAAGAGAGATTTCGCTAGAGAGCAGATTTCTGTTTTCTTCTCCATCATCAGTGTTTCTATCTTTTGATTTCACATCCTGTTCATGACTTGYTTCTACCTGTTTGTTGTCTCCAGTTGTTATTTTGGTTAATTTTCTGGGTGCAGGGTTCCTCTCATCATAAACAGGTAAAGATGACCTCTCACAGTCTCCAGGTTTTTGACTGAGCTTCACATCTGCAGCCACCTGATTAATATGAGTTACTTCAGCTTCCTCAGGATCCTTCACTACAGCCTGWTCTCCAGTAGAGGACAGACTTCTGTCTTTTTCCTGGTCACCGTCCTTAAACATCATGTTTTCATGACTGTTAGAGCTTTCTGTCTGTTTGATGTTGTCTGTTGTTGTGTTCATTGTTAGCCTTTGTGCATCACTCATGTCGTCCTGTGTGTCATGTCCAGCAGATACKTCACTGTCTCCAGGTTTTAGACGGACCTTCATGGCTTGTGTCTTCTGGATGATCTCAGTAACTTGAACAGGATCTATCACGTCTGATGTCCTGTCTTCTTGTCTGTCGGAGTTTTCTGTCAGTTTAACTTCATCTGTTGTTTTCATTTTTGGACTGTGTGACTCAGCTGACGCTTCACTGTCTCCAGATTCAGGATAAACATCTGCTTTCTTCTGTTTAGTCTCAGTCAGTCCTACATTTTCTGGATCTGGGACTTTATTCTGATCGTCACACGGGAGCAGATATTTGTCTTTTTCCTGCTCATTACTGTTCCGGTTYATGATTTTTTGATGAAAGTCAGAGTTTTTCGCCTCATGTTGTTTTCCTGTTTCCTCTGTCTCTACATCATTAAGTTCCTCCTGTGGTTCAGTGTTTACATGCTTTGATTTGATGTCCTGTTCATCWCTGACTAGTTTTCCAACAGCAGGTAAAGATGACCTCTCACTGTCTCCAGATTGTAGATTCACATCTGTTGTCATCTGATTAATATGAGCTACTTCATCTTCACCAGACTCCTTCACTACAACCTGTTCTCCAATAGAGGGCAGACTTCTGTCTTTTATCTGGTCACTATCTTTGGACATCATGTCTTCATGATTGTCAGAGGTTCCTGTCTCTTCACCTCCTGATGGTTCACTCATGTTACCATGTTTGTCAGCTGATGTTTCAGCATCTGGTATTGTCTCAGTTTGTTCCAGTGTTTCAGAATTTGTGACTTCAGTCTGAGTAAACAGATATGTGTTTTCCTCCTGGTCATCAGTGTTTTCATCCTTTGATTTCATGACATGTCCACGGCTGTCAGAGTCCTCCGTCTGGTTGAGTTTCATCGTTGGCCTGTCTGCATCACTCCTGTCATCCTGTGTGTCACATGCAGCAGAAACACACTTTTCTCTGTCTCCAGCATTAAAATCATGACTAACTTCTGGTCTGCTCTGATCAACCACAGTTAGCTCTGGTTCTGCAAGATGTGTGCTTTCAGTTACTTCTTCTGAAGACAGCRGATATCTGTCTATGTCCTGGTTCTTATCCTTGGAGGTCATGCCTTCAGGACTGTCAGAGGGTTTTTTGTCATCTTTTCTTCTTCTTCCTTCTWTTTCCTCATCTCTAAATCCTCCTGGAGGACCACTCCTGTCAGCTGATGTTTCGCTGTCTCCAGGTTTAACATCGATTATCACATCTGGTGTTGTTTGATTAATATCAGTCAGTTCTATGTTTTCAGGATCATTTCTTTCTTTCCGATCCTCATTAGGAGTCAGAGTGTTGTTTTCGTTTTGGTCTTCAGTGTCAGACTCTTGTTTTGTCTTCTTTGTTTCCGGCTCATTCTCATCTGTGTTTGCATTTCTGGATCTCTTCCTTGGTTTGTAGATTTTTTCTTGAATGTCTGCTACAACAACTAGATCGTAMAAAATACACATTTAATCATCGTGTCCAGCATTTTGATGTATTTATTAATGTCAAGCATCAATTTATCCTCACCAAAGAACATCTGCAGAGTCTTACCTTTCTTTCTGTAAAACAGAAGATAGGCACTGGCAAATCTGTAAAATGAAGAAAATGTATCATCCACAACATTTTAAATATTTGTTTAAAGTTGTAAAGTTAATACATGTCAACAACTGACACACTTATATCAGTACAATTTGAATATAAATGTTTGTTTTATAAATGCTGCAGCATTTATAAAAACACTGCTAAAAGACAACTTTTTTACCACTTTAGCCCTATTTGCATGGGATATCTGTGAACTCCATGGGATAAATAAATTACTCCCCAACATCTGATTTTTGTGTGACAAATTCGCACGGGATAACCGAAGTGATTTTGCTGAAATGTACGGACATCTSCCAGATATGATGCTGWCATGCTGCGCTACGGCCACARCTCAGCRCTRCCAGCAGTAGCCAGCTRTAAACAAAAGGCTACAAACAGAAGAAAATGATTGYTACCGTACAGTACAGTGATTTTGCTCCTTCTCTTCAGCATTTTCTTTTTGACGCCGTACATTACGGGTCRATAAGGTCTTGCTGGTCCATGACCCAAAAKRTTTTCAATGCACTCCTCTGCATTCTTAGCCAAAAGCAAAGAAAAATGCATCAAGGAAATAAAAAAAAAAAGCCTAACTAAATAGCGGATCYCACCCATTTTTGTCCAAATCACAGAGATGCCTTTTTGCATTGGATTAGTTTTACTACAGGACCTCACAGTTCAGCAAAATATAGTAGGTAATTTGCAGGGGAATTTTTACTTTACAAATTACTGACATGGCCRATTCGTAYGGGATTAACAACACAGACAATCTCTGTAATTATTACAAATAGCTATAACAAATCCTGTCAGAACAGGGCTTTTGTCGTACAAATGTTTCTTTTGACATCGCTTCAAGTATTTGAGAATTGAAAAATACAGATATATTTTTAAAAAATCATAAAAAAAATTTTAACTTGATATCTGTTCAGAGATTAGTGGATATCAAATTTCACTGTTTTGGTTTTTTTTTTTTTACTCTTTTTGTTACTTAAGAGAAATCTGCAAAAAGCAAAGATAAGAGCCTAGTGCACACTCCTCTACACAACTACACCTGAAGATGAATGATTTGAAGTATAAAATGACCAGCAGATCACACAGATTCATTTTCCAGAGAATCAACAGCCTCTAAATCTTACCTTGAAATGTTCTGTGTGTCTGTAAATGGACTTCTGTCGAGCTGTGAGACAAACAAAAGTAAAAGTTTATGTATGCCCTTTACAATACAGTAGATTTGGATCAACTTTTATCATCAAACAAGCTTCTAAATCTCACCGGTGAGACTCTGACGTCATCAAAGCTGAACCATCTTTCATCATCCTGGGACTTGATGGTTGCTGCGTAATGTCCAGCTCTCAGATCCCCAAAATGATCCACAACAGCGTAGAGTTCATACTTCTGACCCTGATCAGATGTATGAACAAGCAGAATGAGCAGAAAATATTTAGATTTAAGACAATAGCGAAAACAATCAAGATTCTAACAAATTTTAAACTACACTAAAGCTATACCTCTGGTATGTTCAGGGTGTAGGGAACATCAACATCACACTGGATCTTGACAAACGACATGTAACGATAGCTGAAGTCAAACCTCTTCAGCAGCAGAACCAGAACATCTGGATGWTGTTTTATCACATATTTCTAAATTAAATAAACACAGATTTCAATATTATTCCTATATTAGTTAAGTCATTATAAAATCTGGAGAATTATTTGTATTTTACTCACACTAGAAGCATCAACTTTGCAGTCACATCTGTCACAGTACATCTGGTTGTCTCCAGTGAAATGTGAAGGTTGGAAGTATTTATTAAGGCCATCGACCTGAAAAACACACCTGTGATTACTTTAAAGAAATACTCTAAGTACTGAACAGTGTAGGAAAATGTTAGAAAAGGTATTTCTCAAGTAAAAAAAATATAAATATAACATGAACCAATCAGCTCTTTAGAATACATAAAGCAGAGTTATTAAATTGGTGGCCTGTGGGCCATATAGGGCCTGAAGGTGACTTCTGTCRGCCTGCCAGTGATCCCCTAGCCTGGCCTTCCTACACAGTTCTGCTCAGTTCTAGTTTCCCCCCACTGCCTGGTCTGGGATTTCTCCCATAGACAAGGATTTCTTCTGTAGAATTTCAACCGGGCCAAACAGTGAGGAGTTTTAAAAGACTATGTAGATTTTTTGCACCATTTTAGTCTGCCTGTAGTTCAGCATTTGCAGCAGAGGAAGTGAATGAAGCCATTCAGTCTGTGTTGAYAAGGCTTCCAAATTAAATTAAAATTGTCTGACAAAGCAGCAGCTCTCATTTACAGTCRTCTCGTTCGGCTCGGTACTTCTCTCCTCTCAGTAGGGTTGTTTACAGTGAATGCAATTTCTGGTTAGCCTCTTAGCTTAGCCTCTTTCACGGTCGAGCTGGCGCACTGCATACGTCACAGCCAAATATTAGCRATTGGGTAAAATCAGATCTAATCATTTTAAACTTCAGCAGAGGCCACGCCTCCAGCAAGAAATCAGTTCTCAACAGCCAAGAGTCCAGACCCTCTGTACGAAACAAAGCATAACACAAGGACTGGTTTTTACCAGGCTCGTGATCCCCCACCCCCCAAAATTAAAAATAAATGTGTGTGTGTGTGTGTGTG